GGTCTGCTGCTGTGCCATGTGGGTCAGCTCCCTGGCTGGCGATCGAACTCCTGCTGCAGTGGCTGCAGATAACTTCACAGTGCTGCGACTTAATCCCTTGTGCCACCAGGGGCATGTAAGTAACAGTGACTCTAAGAGAAATATACCCATAAGTTACGTTTTTCTCGGTGACTATGGCTCCAGCAATACCTGGGGTTTGATTTTTGGGTTTATCTCTATGTCTTTAAGCAAAACAGCTGTTGCACTGAACTTGGAGTCCAGATGTGTATATTTGTCATATATTTTAAATTAGAATTCTACAAACATCTTCAACTAGTAATTGGAGAGGGGGTGGAGAGAAACTCATCTATTTCACCATTGTCTCACAACAGCCAAGCAACTCCTGCCCAAGATTCCTTAGAAAAATAATACATCCAATTGTCCTTGTACTAAGAGGGACAAAGCCTAATTAATGATAATGATGAAAGTTTTGCTAACTCAATCAAAAAAAGCCCTGAAATTTCCTGATTGCTTTTCCTTCAAAGAGGTCAATTCCAGCTCATACTTTATCTCGCTCATCTTTTCAATATACATATTATATTCTGTGGTCTCAGTGGTCCTGCTTTTCTCTGCAACTCAGCCACCCACTGTCATGGCACTTAATGTTACCTGCATAATAAAACCACATAGGAGAAATGTAAGAAAATGCCAATGGCTGGACTCCATCCCCAGAAATGCTGCTGTAATTTAGGTGATGCTGAGATGCAGCCTCAGAGAATGATGGGCTATTAACTGTACCCCACCCCTTTATAACATTCTCAAGCATCTCAGTCTCTGACCTTCACCACCCCTTACACTATTTCCAGTAACTCTTTGCCCCCACTGAAATCTTCCATTCATTGGCTCAATAAACTTTCAAGTCCCTGACTTTTATCATATCTTCACCTCCCCCCACCAAGCACCATAGATTCTCTTACACAAACCTTCAATTTCTAATTCCAATTTTTTCAGCTTCATTCCTTTTGCAAAAACCATAGTTTTGATTAAATCAAAATCTATAGTCAACCCAGAGGTTAAATGTGACTGAAGAAAAATCCTCAAGTGGGTCCTTATTTCTGCCCTGCAATCACATTACTCTCCCCCATCTATTACCTGCCCACATTCCTAAAGGACTATTGCATGCTTTTCCTCAGTGCCCCTCACCACTTCTCTAATTTTAGCTGATGGCATTGATTTTTACTTGACTGAAGAAATTGAGGATGTTCTTCAGCCAATCAAGCCATCAACTGATTGCAACTGAATTTTACTCTATCCCTGTTCCTATAAATGAATCCTACCTGTGTCATCCCATGGTGCATCAGATGTAGTTGATATCTTGATATAGGTTGATAGACATCACCCCAGATGCTGGCCATCTCATTCCTGCATCATCCTTTCCTCTGTTGGCTGTATCATTCCCAACGGTAGTTGTATAAGTTTTCTATTGTGGCTATTACAAATTGTTATAAATTTATAGAATAATACAAATTTATTATAGTTCTGGGGGTCAGATGTTTAAAATGGATTTGTAGGGCTATATGCTTTCTGGAGATATTAGGGGACAATCCATTTCTTTGTATTTTTCCACTTTCCAGCATCTAACTGAATCTTTAAGTACAGCAAGAAAGCATCCTCAAATGTCTCTCTCTCCCTCTCTCCTACCTTCCCTCTCTTTTACCTGCTGCCTCATCTCTTTCTCTTATACACACTCTTAGAATACATTGGCTCTTCCTGAGTAATCATTACATTGAACTCACCTGGATAATCTAGGCTAATTTCCCTCATTCAAGATCCTAATCAAACTGGAAAATGGAAAAATTCTTATTGTCATATAAAGTAACAAATTCATAAATTCATAGGGTTAGGGGATTAAGGCATGGACATTTTAGGTGGACTAATATTCTGCCTACCATGAACATTTAAACTGATTGCAACACAGCCAGACATTAAGAGAGAAAACAGAAGTTTTCTCTTGTCTTCACATCCTCTTCCAACTGCTACTTCTCACCTCTTTATTAAATTTAAAATTGACAGGGGCCTCCCTGGTGGCGCAAGGGGTTAAGCACCACCCTATGAAGCAATCCGCAGCCTCTTGCAGCATGAGTTAAATACCCGGCCAGCCAGGGAGCAACCCACTTGGTGCAACAGACCTCTCCTATTCACCCGCTGCTCCCCTCAGCAGTGTAATTCAGTCAGTCTGCCTGTTCTGTTCCCCACTCTGTCTCTGGTGAATCCTCTCACCCCCCACACCTCTGGCCTGTACCCCAGCTCTCATATGCATAAATAAATAAAATATTTAAAAAAAATTAAATTGACAGAGTTGCCTCCTCTTGCCATCTTAATGCATTCTCCATTCTCTTTTGTATTATCCTTAAGCAGATTTAATTCTTCACAGCTGCTATAAAAAGTGTTTTAGAAATTACTGATAGTTTCCACATTGTTAAATGCCATCAACAATTCTTAGTTCTCATCTCACTTAAGGGATCTGAAGATGTGTCCCAGTTGACAAAGTCTTGCAGAGTTTTCTTCATTTAGTGTCCAAGTGCCATGCTCTCCATTAGCTCTTTTTATGTGACTTTGCTGATTTTTTTTCTCATTCTCATCGCTAATTTGTGACTCATTTCCCCAACCTCTAAACATTGTGTTATTTGGGTGACCAGATGAATGGTTTTGACTCTTAATACATGGTAACAGCCCCCACGTTTTTATGCCCAGGCTGGAGCTCTCCATAATCTCCTTTGAAAATCTTATAGGCATCTCAAATTTAGCTTGACTAGAACCAATTGCCAGTTGCTACAAACAACCATCCCAGATGGCTTTTCCCATTCTCGGTGGAATGCTCTCTTTTAAAATTCCTGTACCCAACAACCTTGGTTTTGTCCTCATGTCCTCTTTTGATTTCACCATTCAGAGTCCATTTATCAACACATCCATCACCTTTACCTTCCAAACACATCTAGAAAGAAGTTACTTTTCACCACCTCTACCACTGTTGCCTTAATCTAAAGTACTTTCATCTTTTGTTGTTATAATCTGGCCCTCCGCATCTACTTCAACACAGCAGCCAGGGTGAGGTTTAGAAAAGAAAGTCTGGGGCCTCCCCTGGTGGTGCAGCGGTTGAGTGCTGCGCTGTGAGGCTGCCCACAGCCTCTGCAGTGCTGGTTCGATCCCCGACCGCTGGCGAGGGTCCCACAAAAAAAAAAAAAAAAAAGAAAGAAAGAAAGAAAAGAAAATCTGATCATGGGTCCCTCCATCAAACACTCCCAAGGCATCTTTACATGTCAAGTGAGAGGCTGGCAGTGCGTGTATCTCTCCCTGAACTCACATCCCGCCACTGTCTCCCTTACCTGGGTTGCCCAATAGCAGGTGAGGTGGCAGTTACTCAAACTGTATATGCCAACCCCCTCTTCAAGTTTTCTCTGGATCTTCCCTCTTAAGGGGGTGCTTCTCCTTGCCTGTCTACATGGCATCCCCACTTCCATTAGTTCTAAAAGTCTCAACTGACCACACAAAATAGTATGTTGATTCTCATCAGTGCACACAGGAAACTTTCATAATGTTATAATGTTACAAAATTAGATTCTAAATCAAGAAGGATAAACTGATTTTAATAGGAAACATTAACTTTGCATTAAAAAAAATAAATAACAAACCCTCTTCCCCACAGATCCTCCTATCCCTTGACTCCAGTTTGTTTTTCTCAACAGCACTTCTCCAAACCTGTCACATTATACATGTGGAAATAAATGAAGATTAGCCCAGAGAGGACCAAAGGCTATTCATTCAGAGCTTGCTCTAACAAGGAAGCCAGCCACTATCTTTTGTGTTCTGTCAGAGACTTAAAAACAGCAAAGGAGCAGTAAAACTTTATATGGATTAAAGAGAAAGTGTACTCTGATTGGCGGTGGGTGAAGAAACTGGAGGCAGGCTAACTAGTAGTAGGGCACCCTGGAAGATTGTTTAGGGGTGTGTATTTGACTCTCTGGTTGGGATTAATTTGAAAGCAGGGACAAAACTTAAGGAAGCTGTCAGCTATACATATAAAGAGGTATGATTCTATTCTAAATAAAATGCATGGTTGTAAACCAATGTTATTTCAATACAAAGGTTACCAATAGAAACTATATCAAGTCCTCATCACTTGGAGCTGATTATTACAGAAGTTATAGTTTACCTTCCTGAACTAGTAGTAGAGAGAGTAGTTTGACTTTCTAGCAGTCTGACTTAACTGCACTTTGTCTTCTGGGGTGTATAGAGTAGATCATGGGCTTGTTTTCCTGGGAAGGCTGCTACAGGTTGTAGATCAGAGTTATTTTTTACAGATGGTTTGGTCTTTGTCCATGTGTATATTCAATTTCTCATATCTGTCTCTTTGGAAGTCCATTGTCCCATCTCTTTCTGCCAACAGGGAAACTTGGAGCAGAGACAATGTCATGTGATTTATTATGTGAGGGCCAAGGACTGATGTTTGTGAATTTCCTTACTCAAAGTGTCTTGCATGCTGTCCAAGCTCAATACATACTAACTGAATGAGTGAATAAAAATGGAGCCGTTGAGATCTTACCAATTTTCATGAATAGTTAATTGAAGGTTAAGTCGCATTAAGGGAGAGAATGAAGAACTGAATTATTTAAAGTCATTTGAAGAGTCAAGATTTTGCAAAACTCTCCTCCATTTTGATTGTGTAGCTGCAATGGTTCTTGACTGTAAATCACTTGGAAATGACCTTTAAAACTAAAGGAGTTTAAAAAAGTCTATACGGTCCAAATCATAGGTCCCATGACATTAGTAGTTAGAAATGGCCTATGTTGATGCCCTCTACTATGACTCACTTTTGAAAGCCAAAGAGATGAGAATAAAATGGATTCCAAATTTAACCACAATAGTGAATTATCCCAAAGGTCTGACCATTTAGCTCATCCACCAATACCTTTCCTCTTCTCAATTTACAAGACTGACTCATCTTTGCTTTTCTCTCACAGGATAAACCAGAGCACCCCCTAGTGTTAATTGAATTCACTGCTCCTCCTTCAATTTATTATTCAGAAAGGGACTTCTGAGTTTGCATGAGAGATATACAGACTGAAGAGTACAGGAAGACTGCCGGATGTGAGTAAGACAGAGGTTTTGAGAATGCAGTTTCTGTCACTTCATAGCAAATGAGAAGCTACATCAGTTTTATGACTACTTTGGTTTTAGGGCATCATTGCTCTACTAATTTGCATTTGAGCTCAGATTTCCAAGTGTGTCTCCCCAAATAATACCTTACCAGATGCCCAAACCTTATATGCACTACAAGTGATATATGGACATCCACTTACCTTCCAAGTAGAGATGCATATAACTCAACACTATTGATAACATCTGCAGTCTTGTGTCCTGGTTAAGTGATTCTACAGTCAGCATTGTGTTGAATCTTCCCAGCTAACTTATGAGATTCTGTTATTATTGCAATGTCGCAAATGATAAAACTGACTGTCCAAGAGGTATAAGAACTTTCCCAGTTTTTTAAAATGAGTGGGTCACAAGGTGGGATATGCAGCTGTCTCTGTGTAATGTAATGAGCTAGGCGGCTTAACTATTCTACTATATGGTCTCATTTCTACCTGTTGTACTTTAAAGTTCTTAAGGTCTCCTTAAGAGTCAAGTTCTAGAAGAGATAGATAGTAGGTGTTCGCTAATTATTTTTTGGTTCAATTGATCATCCTGGAAAGCAAACCATTCAGGGTAGCCTATAAAACTTAAGAAACTGCAAGCATTTCTATGCTGTTATATCTCTATCTTTATCTCTATCATTTCAATAACCATATCTAACTTTAGGGGGATGACATTTTATCCAGATTCTCTGGAACCCCAAAAGACTACAGACAATTCTTTTTCCCTGAGTTCTGGATAATTCAAATTGGGCCAGAACTCATAATTTATTATTCACTAGTTTGTTTGGCATTTTCGTGTTTAGGATTTGGCATTTCAGCGTGTAAACTTTTCACACAGAGACCTCTGAATGTGTTTTCCCAGAGCTGATCCTGAGGATAATACTGAAACTCACCAGCCTGGTCTGGGTGGAACCCCAGGCCACAGTGGTTGGTCCTGACCACCCAGAAATGTTTGGTGAATGAAGAACTGGGTATTCTGAATTACCTGCCTGGAAAATGTTTAGAAGAAGGAAATTTCAGGAGATTAATGGCAAGTTTAGTGAGGGGAAGGGAAATAGTAAATGGGGGCAGGGAGGAAGGGGCAGGTTGAAGATGGAATCTATCCAAACTTGGAGAGTATTACAAAGACCTCTCCTTATTTATTGGGTTGTAGATTCTTGGAAGAAAAGTTTCAACACTATTTCGGGAGTACGTGTTTCATAATTCTATCCTCTTGTGCTATAATTTTTTCTCCCTTTAAACAATGATATATAGGATTTGTTTTCTGAATTGAACAGAAACTCTTTAGAAATTGATTCCTCTGAATGTCATGAAAAAGCTCAATATATTAAAAAGTCACAATTTATTCTTTTAAAATCCAATTAATCTATACAATATTGGGTGCACTGTTACAGAAGTCAATGTGATTAGAAATTTTCAAAGCTCATTTTGCTAGCAAATACCTATCTTTGCTCTAAAATTTCTCACTTGCACATGAAGTGTGTTGAAATTCTGAAACAGATTGATTTTATTTATTAGAAACAAGTAATAATTTTCACAGCTAAACTTAAAATCTTTAATTTGCTTCCTGAAATTGGTGCAGTTTGAAAAACAAGAAAAGAATCCCAAGGAAAAAGAAGAAAATACATAGAGGTAGGAAATATTTTGCTCAAGTTTTACAGAACTTTGGCATTGCATTCATTTCTGAACTTGAATCCATAAGTACACAGTAAGTTAACTAAAAATAAATCATTTTTCCTGTTTCTACTAAATGACTATTGAATGGCTATTGAATGGCTAATTTTTTTTAAACTATTTTTTTTTTTAAGGAGAAATTTTTGTTTTGTTTTGTTTGTTTATTTATACAAGCACTGGGTACAGTCAGAAGTGTGGGAGGGTGAGAGAATTCACCAGAGCCAGAGTGGGGCGCAGAGCAGGCAGAAGGACCAAAGTACACTGCTGAGGGGAGCAGCGGGCGGCAGGAGAGGTCTGCGCGCCATGTGGGACCCTCCTCTGGTGGCCAGGGAGCAGCCGGGGATCGAACCGGCGCTGCAGAGGCCGCGGGCAGCCTCGCAACCCAGCGCTCAACCGCTGCGCCACCGGGGAGGCCCTGAATGGCTAAATTTATCAAAATGCCTAGTATACAAACCAGTTTTATCTGTCATAGAAGTAGAAATGGTGTTAAGGTATAAGGTAGAGGGTGATCTTTCTTTATAGCAGTTGACAGTTGAATCTGATACTTCCACAATTCAGAATTTTTTGTTCTAAAATATCATCTAGTTCATATCACAAATCTTTATTTTAACCATGAGGAAACAAGAATTAAATCCTTTGTTCAAAGCTACATATTTAGTTGCAGAAAGTGCTAGAATCTACACTTTCTGAATAAGGTTCCAAGCTTCTCCTTTGAGCCTGATAGATTTTTCAGGGAAAGACTTCCTAATTAAATCTTAATCTATAAAAGCCCTCACCCACTGAATAATGCCTTCTATGTTGTAAGCCAGAACTGCTTTTGTGTCACAGTTGATTTTAAAATTAGTAAATGGATAGATCCAAGGTAATACCTGAGTGGGTCTGCCACAGTTCTTCAAAAAAGTAAAATTGATGACTCTCCTCTTTATTAATATATTTTCTCCTCAACCTTCATTCTGTATTGACTTGGGAGAAGTACTTTATGGAAGTGTTTTCACTAAGAAATCAGTGGAATATGAAGTATATTCAAGATAAGTAACCACAAACTTGATGAAACCACCAGCCTTTACATCAATTAGTGATAATCTACTTTTAAAAGATTCAGAGATCAATGAGGCAGACAAATAGCCCAGAAACAGACAGTGAGATATGTTTGCATTTACTACTTGATAAAAAATGCATCCACAAACTACAGGGAATAGATTATTTAACAAATGGGCCTAAAAAATTAGCTCCCTGGGAAACTAAATATTTGTATTTACCTGTTTCCTTGATTAGAAAAGTGAATTATCTCAATGGAATAAGAAAGTTTAAAGGATTAAATGCAAAACTCAAAGACAATATGAAACAAAAAAAATGCATTTTGTGATTATTCAAAGGTAGAAAACAATGTGCAATTTACACATGTTCACATGTTTATTTAACTTGACAAGTTTTATTTTTTTATTTGACTATTTTTTTTAAAGATTTATTTATTTTTACAAGAATTGGGGGACAGTCAAAGGTGTGGGAGGATGAGAGAATTCACCAGAGACGGAACGTAGAGTAGAACAGGCAGACGGACTGAAGACACTGTTGAGGGGAGCAGCAGGCAAGACAGGTGAGGTCTGCTGCACCATGTGGGTTTCCCTGGCCAGCCAGCCTATACTGCAGAGGCTGCGGACAGCTTCACAGTGTGGCACTCAATCAACCTGCTGTGCCACTGGGGAGGCCCCTTATTTGACTATTTCCAAAATCTTTTAGACTTGAAATATGAAACTTCTATCAAACTAACACTTAGTCTTCATTTAAGATCATTAATTTTGTTTGAAAAATGGTAACAGCCTTCTTTCAATCATGTATTTAGTTTCCTGCATCTAGACGATATTCTTTGATTTTTCCTTTGATTTTCTTATTCAGCTGTTATTTTTATTTTTATCATGTGTTAAAACCTTTTATCATCATTTTCTTGATTTCCTCAGTTTAACGATCTTTTCTCACCCTTTTCCACTAGTCCTGCTTTGATTTTCCATCAAGTTGTCAACCAGCTACTGTTTTCATGTACTTTTATCTTTAAGATATATTCATTATAAGTCTATTGATTTTTATCACTATGAAAATATTTTCTCATAACAAATGAGAGAACAGAAATATAAAAAAGATAACAATAATCACACATAAGGTTAAGGTTTAATCATTTTCTTGCCAATCATTTCTTTCTCTCGGTGGGGGGTATGTGTGTGTGTGTAGGGGGAAGAGAGACAGACAAAGAAATTTTTAATCATGATTATAAATATGTAATATTTATGTTTTTATTCCATTTTCAGGAAAAATATTTTGTCATTGTTCAAGACTCTTCAACAGCAGGAAAAATATGCAACCGATTAGACAGACACCCCATCTTTCATTTAACCTTTCTCTGTGGAATACGTACAGTTTGCAACTTGTCATTCATTGTAAGTAGTGCTCAGATGAACATTCATTTACAAAATGTTAAGAAGCATCTCTGATTATAGCCAAGCACACATTTGTAGAATTGGGAGAATTTTCTCATCTGCCTTTTTTCCTGTCTTGTTCTTTGTTGTGGAAACATAATTAAAAACCAAATCTTCCAACCAAGAAAGGTCTTAGAAAGGCTGCAGAGAAAGAAAACAGTTTCATTATTGACTAAGCATCAACCCAGAAGGTAATGTGTTATACAAGTTGTCTGCAAAGAGATTGCAGACAAAGAAAGCTCATTTTTCCTCCTAGCCAAACAGAAATGATCCATTCCATACACCTTTTCAAGGTAAGCACTTAACTATTCTTTGAATAAAAGGAACTGACAGCAGTTTTGTCACACATAGTTCATGCTAATTTTCCCTTGTAATGAGGGTGACCATCTACCTTGGCTAATTGGCTCTAGCCAGAGAGAAAACAAACTTCGTAATTTTATGACTGGAGATTTCTTAATTCAAAATAGAGCAAGAGTCACTGAAGTCATATTCCCCCCACAAAAGCCACAAGACAAATGAAAACCACATTGTTCATCTACTTTTTTTTCTATATAATTTATGGTTTCAGCTCTTACATCCAAGTCTTTAATCCATTTTGAATTAATTTTTGTGTACGGTATAAGAGTGTAGCCTAATTTCCTTCTTTTGAATGTATTTGTCCAGCTTTCCCAACACCATTTATTGAAGAGACCTTTGTTTCACTGCAAACTCTTGCTGCTTTTGTCATAAATTAGTTGTCCATATGCGTGCTCATCTATTTTGGGCTTTAAGTTCTGTTCCATCGATCTGTGTTTTCTGTTTTTATTCCAAAACCATAGTGTTTTAAATACTCTTTCAAAGAGATAGCTTGAGGTACTAGAGAAAGACATTCCTGGTATACAAGTCTAACAAAAAAACCTAACAATTTATTTTTATTTTTAATTTTTTTTAATTTTATGTATTTTTTACATCATTTTTCATTTTTGTAGAATATATGCATTTTCATCTTGGTTATAGTCCCTGTAAAATTCCCACCACCCTTGTTTTGATCCTACGGCCTTCTTCCCGCCCTGTAGTATGTCTCTGGTTTATTGTTGCTTGTTGATTTTGATTTTTACTTTATTATAATTAGTCTTTTTCCTGATCCCTTATTTAGGTTTTCTAAATTCCTGCTATGAGTGAGACTATCCAGTATTTTTTTTTTTTCTTTCTGGCTTATTTCACTGAGTATTATCCCTTCCAGCTCCATCCATGTTGCTGCAAATGGCATGAGTTGATTTATTTTTTGATTGCTGAGTAATATTCTATAGTGTATATGAACCACATCTTCTTGATCCAGTCATCTATTTTGGGGCATTTGTGTTGTTTCCATAGCTTACGTATTGTAAATAGTGCTTGGCTACTACCTCACACCATGCACAAAAACCAACTCAAAATGGATTAAAGAACTAGACATAAGACCTGAAATCATAAAATATATAGATGGAAATATAGGCAAAACACTACATGACATACATCTCAGTAACATCTTTAAAGACCCCAAAGCAGTGATAGTGAAGATCTAACAATTTTTTTAAAGCATGGAGATATTTATCTATTTATCTATCTATCTACCTAGCTACCTGTCTGTCTGTCTATCTATCAATCAAATAGAAGAGAAAGTACAAGTTGTCTGAAATAAGTACACCAAGAAAAAGGAGGGGAAGGAAATCTCTTATTTCAACTGAGAGAATAAAATTTTTATTCATTTATTTTTATTTTGTCTCTGTACCTGCTATATTTTAGGAGAAAACAGCATTTCGTTGAAATGCTGAAAAAGCATCTATTTTAAAATAGGCCTATTTCATGAAGTATTTGAAAGGGATTCTCTTTATATCCTTAAAACTCTGCTTTGACCCTCAAATGGATTAAGGATGGTTCCAGATTCTTTGATGGTATACTCCCATCCTAAAGTATAGTTTGTTTTCTTTCTCATTGACCCTGGGTGGCTTTGATCAACCATAAATGGTGGGACCAACACCAGACCGCTAAAAGGATTGGCATTTCCCCCTCATATCTGTAGAGCTCTCAGCCACCATGCTAGCTGTCTGACTACCTTACTGCAAGACATGGTGAACAAGCCAAAGAGCTCACCACAGGTAGAGGGGCCCATCTACATACAGACTTGCAGCTGTCACAGCCAAGTGCTAGGCAGTGAGTCATGTTTTATTGTTGATTCTTTAGACTTAAGCTGCCAACTAGAGTCAATGCTTCAGGCCAACTGAGTCCTCCTTGAATTTCTAACCCACAAAATCATGGTTGTTGCTTTAAGTCATCAATAGATAAGGGTGAGATAGTTAGTTACACAGCAAGAAATAATCAGAATAGGGTGCAAGGCTGAATTATTTTTTATCCTCTCTTCATTTTTCTTCTGATAAAAGTGTTGTGTTGAGATTCAGTGTTGAACCTCAGTTGTGTTGTGATCGTGGGTTTCATTTCCCTCAGAGGGTTTTTTAGCTTTAAAGTTGGCAGACACCAGCAAGAGCAGTTAGATAAGAAAAGGATATAAGTGGTATCTAAATTGGAAAGGAAAATGTAAAACTATCACTATTTGCAGATGACGTGATAATATCTTAGAAAAATCCCAGACTCCAGTAGAAAGCTATCAGAATTAATAAATGATTACAGCACCTTGGCTGGTTATAGTAGTAATATGGAACAATCTGTTGTGTTTCTATGTGCCAGTGATGAGCTATGGAAACAGAAACCAGGAAACCAATTCCATTTACAATCACCTCAAAAAGAATTAAATACCTTGGAATATATTTAACTGAAGAGATAAAAGACTGGTACACCAAAAAATTAAAAGAAATTGTTGGGAAAAATAGAAGATACAATGAGATATAAATGTATATTGTGCTCATGAACTGGAAGAACTAACATTGTTAAAATGTCTCTAGAACCTAAAGCCATATGTAACCTCAATGTAATTACTATCAAATTCCCTTCACAGAAATAAAGAAAAAATTAGAACTAAAAAGTGACCACAAATGGCAAAAACACTTTAAAGCAATTTTAATTTAAAGACTATGTTATTGGAATAAAAATAGGCAAGATATCAATGGAAAAGAATTGAAGGCCAAGAATAGAACCACACATATATGGACAGGCAATTTATGGCAAAAGAGCCAAGCATGTACAAAAAAACAAGGAGAATGTGTTTGCTAAATGATACTGGGGAAGGTAAACAGTCGTGATGAAAGAATGAAACTGGGGCCTCCCTGGTGGTGCAAGGGGTTAAGCACCGCACTATGAAGCTATCTGCAGCCTCTGCAACACAAGTTCAATACCCGGGCAGCCAGGGATGGTGCGGCAGACCTCTTCTGCCTCGCCCGCTGCTCCCCTCAACAGTGTATTTCAGTCAGTCTACTTGTTTTGTTCCCCACTCTGTCTCTGATGAATCCTCTCACCTCCCCACATCTCTGGCCTGTACCCCAGCTCTTGTATGCATAAGTAAATAAATCTTAAAAAAAAAATGAAACTGGACCACTTTTTCACACCATACACAAAAATTAATTCAAAATGGGTAACAGACTTGGATTTAAGAGCTGTAGCCCTAAACTACATAGAAGAAAACGAGAGGCTATGTTCCTTGACAGCAAACTTGGAGATGTACTTGGGGACTCAACCCCAATGACAAGGGAAACAAAAGCAAAGGTAAGTAAATGAAACATTATCTAAACTAAAAGTTGTGCACAGGAAAAGAAACTTACACCAAAGCAAAAAGACATCCTGCTGAATGGGGGAAAGTATTTGCATATCATGTGTCTGACAAGGTATAAGTATCCACAATATACAAAGGATTCATACAACACAGCAATAAACAAACAACAAAATTAAAAAGTGGGTGGAGGATCTGAATAGAAACTTCCTCAAAGAAGACATACAGATGGCCAATAGGCACATGAAAAAATAGCTTCATAGTATTAAGGAAATTTAAATCAAAACTATGAGCTTGCACCACATACCTGTGAGATTGACTGTTATTAAAAAAAAATGTTGGAGAGGATAAGGAGTGAATGGACCCCTTGCACACTGTTGGTGGGATTTGCTTGCTGGTATAGCCACTATGGAGAGTATAGCAAAACCTGAAAAAATTAAAAATAGAAATTCTATATAATCCAGTTATCACACTTCTGGATATTTCCCTGGAAAATACAAAAGTATTCATTTGAAGAGATATGTGCACTGCCATGATTATTGTAGCATTATTTATGAAGGCTAAAAAGTGGAATCTACCTAAATGTTCATTGACTGACAAGTGGATCAAGAAGGTGTGGTGTATATATATATATATATATATATATATATATATATATATATATACACACATATGTGTATACATGCACACACACACAAACTCATATACATACACACAATGGAATACTATTCAGCTATAAAGAATGATGAAATTCTGCCATTTGCAATAACATGGATGGACCCAGAGGGTATTATTCTTAGTGAACTCAGCCAGACAAAGAAAAACAAACATCATATAAGTTCACTCATATGTGGTATATAGGGAAAACAAAGAGATGAAGTAAATAAAACAAAAACAAATCGTTGGACAATAAAGACCAATTAGTGGTTACCAGAGGATAGGAGGTGGGGTGGGGATTATATTAGGACAAAGGCAACAATTGTCTAGTCAAGGATAGAATCGGCCTTTCAGTGATGAAGTAAATGTCGTGTATACTTGTTGACTTTCAATGATGCAATCTGAAAGTGATAGAATTTCATGATGCAACACTGCTTCACAGAAAAAAAGGTGGGGCCAATTTCACTTTTAAAGGCTTTCTGCGGTTGAGCTTCTAATAAGCTCTAATTTCTTCTTCAAGGAAGATTTCTATATACCACATCTTGACTTTTAAAATAGTTTAGGAAAGTTGGCCCAATTCTGAAAAATAGGGATAGAAATGTTCGTTGATGCTAATGATAAAGGACTGATCACAAAAATCTGCAAAGAGCTGATGAGACTCAACAACAACAAAGAAAATAATCCAGTCCAAAAATGGGCAGAAGAGCTAAAAAGAAACTTCTTTGAAGAGGAAATGCAAATGGCCAACAGGCATATGAAAAAATGTTCAACATCACTTGCAATCAGGGAAATGCAAATCAAAACTACCATGAGATACCATCTCACACCAGTGAGAATGGCACATGTTAAAAAAACTAGCAACAACAAATGTTGGCGAGGGTGTGGAGAAAAAGGAACTCTTCTGCACTGTTGGTGGGAGTGCAAACTGGTCCAACCACTATGGAGAGCTGTGTGGAGATTTCTGGACCTACTAAACATAGAGCTTCCATAGGATCCAGCAGTTCCACTCCTAGGTATTTACCCAAAGGACACAGAAACATCAACTCCAAAGAGCACCTGCACCCTTATGTTTATAGCAGCACTGTTTACAATAGCTAAGCTTTAGAAACAGCCCAAATGCCCAAAAATAGATGACTGGATCAAGAAGATGTGGTCCATATACACCATGGAATATTACTCAGCATTCAAAAAAGATAAACACATGCAATTTGCAGCAACATGGATGGTGCTGGAAGGGATCATGCTCAGCGAAATAAGCCAGAAAGAAAAAGAAAAATACTGGATGGTCTCACTCATAGCAGGAATCTAGAAAACTTAAATAAGGGACCAGGAAAATGAATAACTATAAGAAAGTGAAAATCAAAATCAACAAAAAACTATGAACCAGAGACACTCTATGGGGGGTGGGGGGTGGGGAGGGGAGGGATTGGGCTCAAAATAAGGGGGCTGCAATTGTATGGGGAATATAAAAATAAAATTTATTAAAAAAAAAGAAATGTGCGTTGATGAGGTTTTCACATATGCATTCATACTAGGTTGCAAACAAAAACCAAAAAATCTTCAACCTGAGGCAGACGCCCCTCCTTCCTACCACACTTACCATACATCAGTAGCAAAATGAAGAAGTAACCACAGACAGAAGCAACTGGGGGGACATAGTTACAGATTTTAGAAGCTGGTGATTCTGGAGATATGGGGGGCAGGGGAGAAAGCAAGCAGAGTGAGCTGAAATTATGGACGGACTAAATTCATTTGTTTCTTTTTGCTCTCTGTGTTAGAGGATAGAATAAAAAAAAAAAAGTAAAAGTAAAAAAGAAGAAGGAGTATTTTTTAACTCACTGGTAAGAAAGATTGTAACATTTTCCTGATTCAGAAAAGGAAGGCTCGATCTATTTTTTTTCTTTTTATAAAAGACCCTGTGGCCAATATTTTCTTATGCATTTTATTAGCACCGCAACAGGAGTCTGGGAAAGGGGTTGGCAGTGGCGTTAGCATAGAGGAGCAGAGGGGATGTACTCTCAAGGGTGACTTGGGGGACACGCGGGGAGCAATAATGGAGCCTGAGTGGGTCCCAGGGTGGAGGGGTGGGCTGGCTGGTGCACATCAGTCTCCCGGAAGGGCTGGGTGGATGCTGGGCTCAGGCTGGCATAGGACAAGGTGAGTGGGAACAGGGGGTGGGCACTGACCACGGGCCCTGTATAGCCAGTGGCAGAAGATCAGAAGAAAAATGAATGTGGAGATGACATCAGTGGGTGTTTTTGTCTGTTTTGTCTTAGCCACACTTACTACACTGAACTCACCTGCAGGAAGTGGTGAGCAGGAGTCGTGACCATGAGGTCCACCTGCAGGTATTTGCAGGGATTTCACTGAGCAGGACGTTGAGATGAGTTTGACAAGATGTCGGCCTGACCCCTTCGAACCCTCCTCCCAGCGGATCCCGTGGGTTTATTCAGGAGTCAGGGGGTGCCTGGGTCGCTTCCTTTCCTCCTACCAGCCTGTGCTGTCTCTTTTGTGATTAATTGTCTTAGTCTCTTATTTGGGTCAGTGCTGTGAGTGACCCTGTGACTGAATCCTGGGGAGCCCCCAAATGCTTTCTTTGTCATTATCAGGAGAATGCAATTCTTGTTGGGGGAAAAAAAAATTCTGGGGTTAAAGGCTTGGCTCTCTTGTTGTCTTTACTTATGAAATCACTTTCAAGCTTTTTTATAGGTTAGTGATTGAACTATTTGATGCAAGTGGGAATATTTTTATCACTATTGTCATGTAATTTGTTATGACTGGCAAAAGCTTATGTTTTCCTTTTGCACTTGGAGTGGAAGGATATTACTGCAAACATCTATTCTTAATTTTCCTAAGACCTCAATGAGAGCTCGCTTCTCTCTCTCTCTCTCTCTCTCTCTCTCTCCCCCCGTCTCTCTCTCTCTCACACACACACACACACACACACACACACACACACTTTTTTTTTTACTTTCCTACAAAAAGTGGAAAGGTTTTTTTTTAAATTATTATTGTTCTGTGTAACAGGCAAAACAAAATTAGTCAATACATTTTTATTTAGGGAATTGCACACTTTGTGATTATTTCCATTGTCCACTACTTAATTCCTCCAGTTTGAGCCATAAGCCTCAACATTAATCTTTAACAAGAACTTTCACTTAATCCACTTGTATTTGTCAACCTGACGATCGCTTATTTTAGGCTCCTTGATCTCCACTTGAAAACACAGACTCTTCCCAGATTTCCACCTACAATTTTGGGGGTCCAATTTCTTTAAGCACTCTAAGTAGGGTTATGTTCAAGGTCCTAACAGGTGGATCCGTCTGCCTCTCAGCCTCAGAAACCCTCAAAGCATGAGTAAGAGCTCAGTCACCCCTCAGCATCACAGCCTGCAGCAGCAGATCCTTGGCAGGACAAGCCAAAACCTTTTCGTCCTGATGCTTCTCATATTCTCAGCCTGAAAGACAGAAGCCATCTTTGTTCCACATTCACATTCCAATCAGAATGCAAAATTTCCTACATGCTTTTTAAATCATCAGTCCTACAGTCCTGGATTAACCTTGATTTTTATCAATCTGTTTTAAGTATCATGTTCCTTCTTATCTGTATCAAAACACATACTGAACACGGAGTTCTAGGTTGCAAAAGAGGATTTATTCTTTGCATCAAAGGCTTTGCCCACAAATTTAACAAAATCAAATATGAGTGCTAGTCAATGAGCTCTTTTTATCTGCAAGTTGGAATTCTTTTTTCAGAAACATCACATTTTGTGAGTGACTTTTGCTCCTTCCATGTGCTCTGTATCTTGTTTTCTGCATTTGCTCAAATTTGTTCTCCAAGTCCCTTACCAATTTCCTAAAGAAGTCCATCTTTTTTGTCCTTCTGTTTGTCCTGTGTTCTGAGTGTTTCTTCCACTTGATCATCCAAACATACAATTTTCACCCCCTCAATTCTCAGTTCCCTGTGGGTTTTTTTTTTTAAATGTAAAAATCATGCCATTTTCATTTTAAGAAACTTTTATAATCCTATCATTTGATCTGCTTCAGGCTCTTAGAGATATGTGTTTGTTTATGTGAGATGTCTGCTCTCTTTCCCAGGAGATCCATTTCCTCAAAGGTTGCCTGGCAATTATAGGTGTTCAGCTTGCACTTCCTTTTCCTGGTTGTTGAGTTCCATTGTATGACTCTAGGATCTCTATCCTTGTAGAAGTTAATTTGTTGCATTAGCAATAACCAACCCTTGGGTGGCAGGAATTCCCTCTGTTTCCTCATCTACTGTAGTAACCTGAATGTGGCCGTGTCTCTGCTGGGGCCGTGGGAAGTGACCTCTGAGGCTCTCTGCATCCTCCCTCTCAGTTGGCTTTAAGCCTCTCCTCTGCCCCAGACCAAGGAGGACCCCAGCCTCAGCATGCACCTGCCACAGTGCTCCTGGCCCTGACAACAACTCCCTAAGATTACACAGGGGTAAAATGTCTTCCTCCTTCCCGGGCCTACTTGTGAGACAGGTCAGCCCACCTGTGTCTCCCTCTGCCACTCCTGCCCACTCCCCCCACAGAGCTGCAGGCCTAGCCTCAGGCCTCTGCACCAGGAATTCCTGGCTTCTCATTAACCTCCAGGTGGAATACAGAGCAGCTCTTTCTCCTGGAACCTGGCAGCACCTGATACTTCCAGAAAACAAGCCTCCAGGCGCTGCCTGTTGGCTGGGTCCCAGCAGTGGCTGTGCTTGGGTGTCCTGTTTGCAGCAGAGCTGAGGAGGAGGGGCAGTGAGAAGGTGCAGGCAGCTCTGGGAGGCCCTCTCAGGACAGGTAAGAAGTCCTGAGGGATCAAAAGCAGTTGGCCAATGATAGGAGTCTTAAAATAGGATATCTTACAAGGAAAAGGTAATGAATGTTAGTAACCAAAGACAGTAAATGATGTCAAAGTCTGGAGGAGAAAAGGGGAGGTGAAGTAAACAGCAGAAACAGGTGGTGAGGTCAACCTGCGGGCTCTGGGGACGAGGCCAGTGACCAGGGTTCCTGGGAAGCCTTGGTGAGCGTGATGAGTTGACTCATTGTTCAGAAGCTTAACTCTGGGAGGGGCGTCTTTGGTCAATATTGCTGTGGGGAGAATATAGGCTTTTTAATTACAGGATGGCATTTTTGAGATTCAGTGTTCTCATAATCTAATATGCAATTCATAGAATTCTTAGAAAATCAAAGAGGTTAAAAAAAAAGACTCAGCCCAGCATGACAAGATTTGGTGAAGCTACTTTTTTTTACTCTGTCTCTTCTTGTTAACACACATTCCTTAAAACAAAAAAAAAAAAATTGGGTCTTATCCACCCTTGTGTCCCCAGGACACATAAAGGGATTCAGTGATGATTCTTGCAGTGCCAGAGGGCAACACTCAGGACACAGAGCCTGCGGAAGGGGGTTCATGTGGGGAGATCTGGTGTGTTAGAATAAAACAGGAAAAAAATAAAAAGACTAGAGTGAAACTGAGGCCTCAAAAAACACACTCTCGACTGCTCTGATTCTTCCATCATGTCACTTGTCTAAAAATATATAAAATTTCTAAAATTTCCACTTGCATAGAATTTGCTAACTATCAACCTCTTTCTTAAAGGTCCAGTGCATTTCCTTTCAGGATATTAAGGAGACCTTTGGCATGTGAAACATTCTAGCTTCTGAACATCAACATTCTGGCTGTTATCATAGGCTGATGTTATTGTGTGATAAAATTTACCATGAAAATTGTAGGATAGATTTCCCTTCCTGCTGGTTATCACCTGCAAAGGCATTTGGACATACAGGCAATGAAGCATTCCTACAAGGATTATGGGCAGGGCATGGGGAATATGCTGTGCATTATAGAAAGAATTGAAATGGGAATAGGGAGGAGACCTTGAGGAAGTAGTTTCTCCAGGCTGTGACACAGTCTGGAAGACTTTTCAACTATGTAGGAATGGGATGCTATGAAAGTCATTGTGGGATATTGGAGAAAGATTTCAGAGATCTACTCAAGGTGCTTCCATAAGGAAAACTAGTAATTGTAATTCTATTTTAGGGAAAAGAAGAGGAAGGTAACACCTTGAGTTTGAGATATTCAAGAATGTTTTCTAGGCAGAAAGAGTGTTTGATTAAAGACCATTATTTAGAAGATTAGGTTTCGCCTTTAATTCTCCCAGCAAGTTTTCCTTTATTTCTGCTCTCATGAATGCTTTGACCTGAAAGAAAAAATTCTCTAAGAGAAATTAGCACTTAGTTATTGGAAAGTCACCAATCCCTAAAAAAAAAAGAATGATTCCTAATGAACAGTTGTGACGCATCTTATTTTACAGACAAAGTTTTATGGAAGAAAATCTACTTTCCCTGAAGAAAAAGAATATGAGCTGTGAAGTCAGGTAGACCTTTTGTCTCCTGAATTTATTGGTTAATCAATGAACTTTCCAAGGTGTCCTCATCAGTGAATTGAACTAATAATATCAATGTCATAAAGGTTTAATAACAAAATCCATATAAAGCAATAGAGTTCCTAGCATAGAACACACACCCCATTAATATTAGTCACTATCATTAATTAATACTATTTCTTAGTGATAGAAACATGTACTTAGCTTTGCAAAGTTTTTATGGTGATGGGTATTACATACATAATATTTACAGTGTATGGATTTGTTGGAAACTGTAGTAGCATCTTCATAAATTACACATATATTTTCTGCATTAAAAATGAATGTGAGAACTAATGATTATAAAGCACATTGTTGTTAAATGATACACAGTATTTTATATTCTCAAAAAATGAATGCTAAGTCTAGGTTTATCTTTAAATATGACTTTGATATTCTTTTTGAAATTGGGACCCAAACATATCATGCTTTAAAAAAAAAAAAAAACTTTACAAGTTAACAATACCAAAAAAAAATGAAGAATGAAGGAATCTCAAGTTAATATAAAAAGGAACAATTTATTAACAAAAAGGAGGTAAGCAGATAAAAACTAGTTATTTATACTAGTAAAAGGTAGTTACAAACTTTCAAATTGAATTATATTGAATTGTGGGGACACAAAGAACATTTTTATGTCTCAGTAGAATTGTTTTTGTCCCATTTTTTATATTGATTAAGCTCCGAAGTCTGTATTCAAGTAGTTACTAAAATTTTCATCACCATATAAGATCATGTCAAAATGCATTCTTCAACTTAAGAGGGAAAAGTACTCTCTCTTCTTCAAGTCTTCAAATTTTCTCAGACCACACTTTTATCTTTCTTCTTAAGATCACTCTGGAAAAGTAGTTTGCATGCAAAGCCCCTTGACAAATATCTGCCTTTTAAAGATGTTAATTTAATATACAAGAAAGGAAGGCCTCTGGGGAAAGAGGATAAAGAACGAGTTAGGATTTCTAACTCCTACGCTAAAAATGGGATATCAGAAAGCATTTTAGCTTCCTTTACCCTGCCGATTAAAGCCTTCATTTTAACCTTCATTATAAATCGGGAGTGTTCATTGCTAAGTTGTTTTTAAACAATTAATATTAACCTTCTTTAATCTTACCCCCGATTCCCCTGAAAAGCAATAGTTGAATTCTATTTATTCAGTGCCATGGATCAGTATTTCATTTAAAATAGACCACATGAGCCTGTCTCTACTTAGGAAAGATAGAAACATCACACACCCTTCTATATACATAATGCTAAATCAGAGAGAAACCACAGTTATAAAATCATCTTCAACAATGTGATTTTGAAGGAACTGATAAAAAGAAAAAAAAATACATGAAGCATTTCAGAAACAAATTGCTGCATTTCCTAGAACAATCAAAGCAATGTCTATAACATGTCATTCTGCTGAAAATAGCTTATAGAATCCTAAGTAGCTGACGTGCAGTTCCTGTCATTTAGACAAGGCAGTTAAGAAGGGCAAATCAATGTTTCTTTGGGTTGCATTTTTAGAAAACAGTAGACATTTTAGTCACTGGCATGTAAAGCTAAAAAACGCAGTCACACATACGCATTTTTTGAGTAGACGCTGGATGATTTCTTTTCTCCGTGGTAGCTCTTTTGGGTCGTACGATGGGATGGGATGGTGTATCTGTAGCTCCTGCTCTTGTCACTGCAGCCAGAGACGCAGCAGAACAGAGCCCCTCCGGCCAGGAGCACCAGGGCGGTGGTCCAGCCGAGATAGAGAGCTTCCCCGAGCTCCCGCTTTTGGGCAACATCCACTATGGGGCTGTAGAAGTCTCTGATGATGGAATTGGCAACCCAGCTCACCGGGATGAGCACCACGAGGCCGGTGACCATGAAGATGATGCCAGCCGTGAGCAGAATGTAGCTCTTCGCCTTCTCGTCGTCTCCCGTGCAGTTTGTGCACTTCATGCCCAGGATGGCCGTCATGAAAGCCAGAAAGGACAGCACGCAGGCGGTGCACATCAGCCCCCTGGAGGCCTGCAGGTCCGGAGACAGAGCCAGCAGGGAATCGTAGACCTTGCACTGCATCCTGATGTTCACATGCCGCATGCAGTTCATCCACAGTCCTTCCCAGAGGTTTTCAAAAACCACAATGTTGCTTTCAATGAAGGCGGACACTCTCCACTGTGGCATCAGGGTGACGGCCACAGTGCCCACCAGGCCGATACCACCGAGCATCAGGGCCACAATTTGCAGGGCATAGGTCGCCATGGTCCGCTAAGAGGGACTCCTCAGCTGGTCCCACTGCTCCGAAGCCAAGTCCTGCGTCTCAGGAGAGAACAGTTTTCCCGCTGCAATGAACTCTGAACCCAGGGGTTTTTCAAATAAAAGCTGCTTTACTGCTTCTTTCTAGATTAAATCCAGTGCTGGCTGGATGAGGTGCACCCCCTACTGACAACCACAGGTAAACTTACAAATCAGGTGGGGCAACTTTCCTGGCCAATAAGAGGGGGGAGGTTACCCAGGTGCTTCCAAACTCACAGGAGCTACTTGCAGCTTCTGAAACTGCACATAAACATTCTTTGTACTTCTTAGTTTTGCAAGAAGACTGCACACGGCGTGTTTACCTGTCGGCGTCATTCTGAGCGTTTGCACAATTATCCAGCCGTGTGCCATTGGCTGCTGACCTCAGAAGTGCACCTTGGCGAGGCAGCTCTGGATCCAAGTGAAAGCGGCTGTGACCGGGTAGCAAATGAAGTGTCTGCCTAAGACTTTCGAGAGGACTGTCAACGTGCCAAAGTGAAAGAGGAGCAGGGGATGGATAGATTGCTCAGACCCGGGAAACCACATTCTTTGGGTGCATGTGATCCCAGCAGTTGATTTAATTTGTCTACAACTTCAAAGCAAGCTCAGCTGAGGTGAAATCAGGGAGCAGATCCAGGCAAAGGACAAAATAAGGCAAAAGTAATTAAATACACAAGGTTGTCCAGCTCGGAGGCACCAAACACATGCTGTTTTCTTTTGAACCAAGAAAGCTGCTTATTGGTGGTATCCTGATCATCTTGATTTGTAAGGAAAAAAATGAACAAAACATCCCAGACCATTTTCTGAAGTAGCGAGCACTCTGTCAATTAAATGATGCAGTGAGTTCCAGATAACCGGGGGCTTATATTGTATTTCTTTGCTGGTCTGTTTTCCTGGCTCGAAGGAACTAGAATTCAGATGATACAAGAGTCTGGGACTCATAACAAAGACTGACATTTCTAGATAAACTATTGTCAGGGTCGTATCCACTGAACTTAATCATATGAAATGTTCACTGAACTTGTCTTTCATGCCATGTCCTTAAGCGGAAGGTGCTTTGAACCATCTTATTCTCAACGATGATAACAGCGGTGCTCCAATAAACAGATGTGGTGATTTGGGGGAAATTCACTAGCCATTGTCTTCTGAAAATCACCTTGAGCTTTCTGCCCTGCCGTTTCAAACTTCAAACCTTACTTTCATCCTAACATCCTAAAAATGTGATCTCTTCTTTATGGCTTTACTTCCTCTCTGCTTCCTTGCACCACCTTAAATCTGAGTATGGGAAAGTGTTTTCTCCTCACTTATGAAGCTGGAAATTTAAATGCCAAAAAAAATCTGAGTATTTTATTCAGATTACGGAAACAAAACCAGTGCTTGGTAGGTAGGGTAAGAAAATGCCAAAATAAACTGTCTTCTAAGAAATAATACCAAGCAGGAAAAGATAGCAGTAGCCCAAGTTATGGCTATTTTATTAGTTTGGACATTTGAAACTAAGAAAATGATGAAAGCATGTTATTTACAAGAATGTCCTCCTGGTGGGCCTATTATGTACTAATCTGTAGTAAGTCTCTCATGCTAACAGAAGATATCTAGCATTTTCTTCTTCAGGCTTGTGTCAGTTACAGATGTGTGGTAGAGAGGGAGATAGATTACTCTTGGAAAAGTAATCTGCAATCTATAAAAGGAGAATTCATATCAAAACAGCAGATAAATTTTCCTTTAATTGCCAGCCTCAGAAAGGGGGTGACTGACAGATTGGCAGATGGAAAAGGAGCTACTGTACAAGCTGACACACTAAAAAAAAAAAAAATGTATAGGAAATCACATTGAATTCACTTTTTTTAAAGATTTATTTTTATTTATTTATGCATACAAGAACTGGGGTGAAGGCCACAGATGCAGGGGGTGAGAGGACTCACCAGAGACAGAGTGGGATGCAGAAAAGGTAGATCTACTGAAATACACAATCAGGAGAGGTCTTGCTGTGCCAGATGGCTTAGCTCTGTGGTGAGGGATCAAACTCATGCTGCAGAGGCTGGTGATAGCTTGATAACACTGAGACTTTAACCCCTGTGCCACCAGGGAGTCCCGGAATACACTTTCTTAATTCATGTATGACACATGTTTTAGGAGCTTTCTTGAGGAGCTCTCTTTATAAGTGTGTGTGTTTGCACAGTGTGCACATATGTGTATGGATGGGTGGGCATGTGTGCACGTGTGGGTGTATGTGTACACATGTGTGCACATGTGTGTATATTATTATTGCGGTAGCACTGGTTTACACCATCATTTGTGTACTGGAAGTACAGGATCTCCCCCTCAGGTGTTTCCACACCACACCCACCACCTCCACAACCCTCTTCCACCACCACAAGGAGCTCTATTTAAATTTCACTGAATAGTCACATAAAGACTTGAGACAGAAATTGGAATAGGAGTGTTGGAGAGCTGGAGGCCTGTGTACATGCCTGGCTTTGTGGACTAGCATTCTCTCGCCCCACAAGCATTGCTTATTTCACACAAAAATATTTTTCTCTTTTGAGAAATGTGCTTTCCTCTTGAAATTATCCTCACCAGAAGAGAGGCTCAGAAACAGTCCAACCATAGCTTTATATTACCATTATCCCAGTGTTAGGTGCCCCAGCAGAAACTAGCCCAGAAACTAGCCCATTTAGCTTCTTATCAGATGATCATCCATTAACCCCAGGCTATTTTTAAACATACCATGTCCAGGTGGTTACCGCTGTCTTCTAGACAAGGTTCAAAATCAGGTATAGGACATACCTGGTGAGACAGGAATTCTTTAATTTCATTGAGTTAACTGAATCACTTCCCTAGTCAAATATATGACTTTCTTTAAATAATATTCCAATTGTAGTAAAATCAAAAGTGTTATTGGGAGCAAATGATAATAAAGGTAACTGCAAATCATGGAAGAAAACATCACGGGGAATGAGAAAGGTAGAAAGAACTAGTAATGCTAGTTCTAGGAACTAGTTGATTAGGAACAAGAAGACTAACTCACAGACAAACTCAAGTGACCAGTTTCCCTACTTTTCTATAATCCTTTTTGTCACATTCCTACTGAGTTGATTATCTTGTCTTTAAAATTCAGATAGCAGTAGTGGTTAAAGATAGCAGATTAATGACGTTTTTACTGTTCTTTAACTTAAAACCATGGAACAACTTATACATATTTTTCTCTGATTTGAACTCCATTGCCATGGAAGAACCATTCCATGACTCAAGAAAGAAATGCATGCCCTTGTTGATCCAAAGTGCTTCCTCTCTTTTTTTGTTCTTTTATCTTTTTTATCTCTTACTTTACTTTGTTTTTCATACTGTGTCATTTTTAATTGAGGTAACGTTGATTTACAACACTTTGTACGACCTAGGAGTATAGGTTCACACCTCTTCAGATATTTGTTTTCATGCCACACTCGTCACCATGGTAAGCGCACTCCTCACCCACCCCACTTGCTGTTCCTTTTCAGTAATCTCAATGCTGCAATTATATATCAAAGGTCTGTTTTAGGTTAATTTTTCTGTTCCTTTGCTTTGATCCTTGGTAGCCCACAAGTGAGTGAAATAATCCAGCTTTTATCTTTTCCTTCTAACTTATTTTGCTTAACATAATCCCCTCCAGCTACATCTGTTGTTACAAATGGCAAAAGTTATTTTTTATTTCTTATAGCTAATAGTATTGCACTTTGTATATATATATACCTTATCTCCTTTATCCACTCATCTGTCATTGGCACTTAGTTTGTGTTTCCATACCTTGGCTATTATAAACAATGCTGCAATGAACATAGGAGTGTATATATTACTTTTAATTAGTGTTTTTATATTTTTTGTGTGGAGATACCAAGGAGTAGAATTGCTGGATCAGATGGCAGACTTATTTTTAATATTTTGAAAAATGCCCATACTATTTTTCATAAGTATTGTGTTCTACTAAGGATAGACACCTAGATCAATGGAATAGAGTTGAGAGCACAGAAATAAGTCCATGCTCACATGGAAAGTTAATTTGCAACTAAGACATATACACCAGAGAAAGAAAAAATTTCTACAACAAATGGTGTTAGGAAACCCTGACAGTCACATGCAAAAGAATGAAGCTAGATCATTCTCTTACACCATACACAAGTTAACACAAAATGAATTAAAGGCTTGGATCTAAGATCTAAAACCATAAAATACATAGAAGAAAACATAAGTAATACACTCCATGACATTTGCTTCAGGGATGTGTTTAGGGACTTAAATCTAATAAGAGAACCAAAAACAAAAACTAAACAAATAGAACTATATAAAACTAAAAACCATTAAAACAAAACGACACCATACTGAATGGTAGAAAATATTTGCAAGTCATATATCATCTTATTTTCAAGATCTACAAAGAACTCATATAAAGAACCACAAAAAGAAAATAACACAATAAAAAAATAGGCAGAGCTAAGTAGACTCTTCTCCAAGGAAGACAGGTGACCAGCAAACACATGAAATATGCTCCTCACTTATTGGGGAGTAATAAATGCAATTCAAATCAGCACCACAATTAGACACCATCTCACATCTGTGAGACTGGCTTGTATCAAAACAATAAGTGTGGATGAAGATAGGGAGGAAAGTGTTGGGTGCCAATCTATTAAAGAGCAACCCAGATATGAAATGGGTTGCCTGACTGTGGGTTCTCACCTGTGCTCTTAAAAAGGGATTTAGAATAAGACTCAAGTGCAGCCTCACACAAAAAGGTTAATAAAGGGTTTAGTTACCAAAGAAAGGGAAATGAGGAAATGAGTAACTCAGGGAGAAAGGGAGATAAATTGGTGAATGTGTCCTACCAGTTCCGCTAAGTGGGAATCCCAATGGCATGCTGAGCTGGCCAAGAGCCAAGAGACACCTAAGGCCCACATGTCTGGTTATATACCAGACCTGGCTGCTTAACTCTGCCTTCAGTTCCCAGCAATCCTTCCTTCCATGATGATGACATTATGGGATTTGTAGCTCTTGGTGTCTGGAATCTCTAGAGTGGGGATAAAGTCCATAAAACCTATGTTCATTCAGGGCACCCTTTCTTCCCAACAAAAGGACCCTTTATACACTGTGGGAATGTAGGCTGTTCTTTCCTTGAGTGCTCCCTTTACATTATCAGACACATGATTTATGTTTGGCAATTAAATTTAGTAAATTAAATTCAGTCCTGATAACTTCATAAAAAATGCAAATGCTTTCTCTTTATAAATGATAACACACAAAGTCTTTGTCAGACTGCCCTTGTTTTTTCCAACCTTATTCTTATAGCAATTAATCTTTAACCAACAATTCTTTGGTCTTAAGTTTCTACTATTAACCAAAGTTAACATAATCTTTGCTTCTGTCAATCGAGTAGTTGCCAATTTACATTGTTTTCTGGATTTGCTTTTGCATTCATTATTCTCTGTTGTGTTGACATTTCTAACCTCTATTTATTTCTAATTACGTTCACAGTTAATAAACTGTACTTGGCTGACCATCTTGTCCAGAGAACACAAGTGCATATCAGTAGATCTCTTTCAGTTGTTTTCCAAATAATACAGTGCACTGCTTCCTGTTCTCATCAATTGTCATCCTATCATGATAATGAGCTGCCCTGTTCTCTGTTCTCACAGGTCCATGTCCATTAGTAGTTATCCATATTCACTGCCTTTCTATCATCTCTTTTCAATTGCTCTCCTTAGAAAAGGAACTCTCTCCTGCATAGAAATTACCTAGTGTCTCAGTCAGTTCAAGACAATTAAACAAATTCTAATAGACTTGGTGACTTAAATAATGGAAATTTATTTTTTTTACAATTCTGGAGATTGGGAGTCTGAGATCAGGGGTCCAGATGGGGACCTCCAGTGTGAGACCTCTTTCTGGTTTGCAGATGGCCGTCTTCTTACTGTGCCTTCATATGGCACACAGAGTCAGAGTTCTATTCACTCTCTCTCGCTCTCTCTCTCTCTCGCTCTCTCTCTCTTTTAAGATTTATTTATTTATGCATGCAAGAGCCAGGGCATAGATCAGAAGTGGTGGAGTGTGGGGGGCCAGTGATAGGATTCACCTGGATATACAGTGGGGAGCAGAACAGGCAGTTTGACTGAAATACACTGCTGAGGGGAGCAGCAGGCAAGACAGAAGAGGTTTGCTGTGCCATGTGGGTTAGCTCCTTGGCGGGCTTCGGATCGAACTCATGCTGCAGTGGCTGCTGATAACTTTGTAGTGTTTAGATTTAACCTCTTGCACCACCAGGGAGGCCCAGGAGCTCTTTATTTTTTTTAATCAAGGATCAAAAAAAATGGTGAACATAAATAAAAAATGGACAATAAGATTAATGATTATTACAATGCTTTAATCTTTCTTATATTTCACAATGCCATTTTAAGCATTAAAATAGAAGTTGAGGTGAGTTTTGACATATTTTGGGTCAGTTTCATGGGATTTCTTGAGTCTAATATATTTGAGGGACTGGAAATCCAGTGAAATAAGTATAGTTTAAATCAGGTCATCCATGGTGGGATTATTCCCTCTACATTAATGTGTATTTCTATGAACATAATTAACATGAGCCATCTGAATTCTAGTAATTTGGGAAATATTTTGAAAGGGATCAGACTTCGCTGGAAATAATAATTTATTACTGAGTGTTAGGTGTTCCTTATGGTTTAGGACCCTTACATACACCACACTGTGTTATTTATTAAAGCATCACTAGAAAGCATCACTACCTTGTAGCGGGATACATGATCATTCAACAGAGATGATGTCTTTTCTCAGGCTTCCCAGCTCGTCTTGCTGAATCTACAGAAACAGACCCCAGATGTGACTCTAAAGCCCATGCTCCTGTCTGCATTGTCTACAATTTCCCAAATGAAAGCAAAGAAAGGTAATGTCTTCCACAGATACATGTGGTCAAAGTTAATGAAGAAACAAAGTTTGTTCAATACATTTTTCCCCTTGGCTTTCACATTTTTGAAAAGTATTTTCATGGCCAAGATTTGTGATTTTTTTTGGTAAATATCTGATTCATGATATTTGAAACATATTTATTATTCTCTTCAGAGAATAATCATTATACTACAATCACTCTTGGGGAAATCATAGCACAATCACTGCTTATTTATAGTTTCAGAGAGTACCAATTCCACAGTCTCCACTGGCACCCCTTTCTTATAAATCTCCATTCTTCTCCCCAACTTGATAGTCCCTAAGAGCATTATACTTAATAATCTAGCCACCACTTAACATACACTTGGCTAAAATTTGACATAAGCAAATTCAGGACAATGAAGTAAACAACTTTATGTATCAGTGCCTTCTGCTTACATAACACACGAAACCTGTCCATTGTGTTTTACAGAGATGTAGTGGTAACTCACAGTTTTAATGTCATAGTTTCTTTCACTAATTCCACTAGAAGTGCCCTTTTCTATGACTCATTAATAGCTTCTTTATGTTTGACTAAAAATAAAATGAAAGCATTTTAAAGTTGCACAGAACTGCATTCCACATGTTTATTTTTTGAGTTGCTAGGAAAAGAAATTTCTAAGAATCTCTTGATTTCTTCCAATAATCCTTTCTAGCAAAATAAAGAGTACCCTTGAGTGAGGAAAACAATGGGTTGATGACAGAATTTATTTATTGTTTATTTTTTAAAGATTTATTTATTCATGCATACAAGAACTTGCATACAGGCCAGAGGTGTGGGGGGTGAGAAGATTCACCAGAGACAGAGTGGGGAGCAGAACAGGCAGATCGATTGAAATATGCTGCTGAGGGGAGCAGCGGGTGAGACAGGAAGGAGAGGTATGCCATGCCATGTGGGTCAGCAATCTGGTGGGGGATCAAACTTGTACTGCAGCGGCTGCAGATAGCTTCATAAGTTGCATCTTAACCCCTTGTGCCACCAGGGAGACCCTTGATGACAGAATTTAAATGCAGAGTTCTCATCTCCCTTACATTAGATAATGGTTACATTAGATAATGAATGGGGTCAAAAGAGAAAGTGGAGGCTGGAGAGCATAAAATGGAGGGGACCAACAGACTATGGAGGAGGACCGGGCGTGTGGTGATGGGTACCATGTGGTGACATAGGCCTAAAGAGGTGTGATCCCATGCCTCAGCATCATATACAATGATGTCAATCAATGTCACCTCAACAAAAGATAGAAGATAAAAGGCATGTGGGATAAAAATCTTCAAAATAACTACATGTGCTAATTAAATACATTTAATTAACATCATTAATAAAACATGCCAAAAATGAGAACTATTCAATAATTATTAACTTATATTTATAATTAAGATTATTAAATGATATAATTGATATAATTAGAATTTCCCACCACTTTATTAGAATAGTGCTCTTCTCATATTAATTTTACTATGAGCCTGAGATGTAGGAAGTTTAAATAACTGGTTCAAAGTCTGTAAGACATTGATTGGCCAGGAATTCAAGTCTGTCAGACACTTGAGGCCCTGCTCTTAATCTGCTTTGTCATTATGGACCTGGCTTTCAATCTGGCTCATTACTTTCCTTGTTTTATAGTTTTTTCTCTTGCTGTTCTTTAAAACAATGCTTTCCACACTGTGGGTTTACATTATCATGTGAGCAGGGGGAGAAGTAAGCTGTCTCCATTAGCTGCAAGAGGAGCCATTGTTTAATAGGAGATACCATAAGATGGAAATATCTGAGTATAAAGACCACACACGGAACATACACATACACATGTGTACACGCACGCACACTCAAAACACACACACACACATACACATGCCCTTATAAGCAAACAGTGAATACAGGAACACAAGAAAATGACTTTCTCTTGTAAAGTTGGAGTTAGCAGGACAGGGAAAAGTAATTAACTGGGCAAATAGAGCTAAGCCATGTTACTGATTAATTTACAAAACAATTAACTTTCCACTTAAAATTCAAATTAACATTTTGTCTGCCTTAGGCAACTAGTGTTTGCAAATTTTAATAGGGTTAGACATTAAGTGCCTTACTTAAAACCAACTTTAGACCACATTGGATAAGACTCTCTGGGACAAAAATTGTGGCATTCTTTGCTTTCAGTGATTAGAAAAAATGACTGAGGGCCTCCCCTGGTGGCACAGGCGGTTGAGCACAGCACTATGAAGCAGTCCGCAGCTTCTGCAGTGTGGTTTCCATCCCAGCCAGCTAGCGAGAATTCCACAGAGCGCGGCAGACCTCTCCTGTAGGTCCGCTGCTCCCCTCAGCAGTGTATTTCGTCAGTCTACCTGTTCTAAACCCCGCTCTGTCTCTGGTGAATCCTCTCAGCCCCCACACCTCTGGTCTGTGCCCCAGCTCTCATATGCATAAAAATACATAAATCTTTAAAAAAAAAAAAGAAAAAAATGACTGAAAACTATAACAATGTATTACAACATGCTGTGCTTACTAATATATTTTCAATAACAATATGAAGAAAATTAGAAGTAGAGATTCTTAAATCAAATATTTTTAGAGATCTTATGATTCTTGTAAAATTTCTTAGGATGAGATCGCTTAAAATATTTTTTGAACATTTCAAAAATTGCTCCATGCACAAGGCACCAAGACTCCAGAGACCAAAAGATATAAGCTAGTCTCAATCTTTAATTGGCTTCCTGAGTCAATTAACCATGTCTTATTAAACCAAGTTAATTAAAATATTAATAATAAAGTCAGGCCATCATTTCATAGTTTAGAATATACCATACTGGTCTGTTCCCTCATGATAAACAAAAGGACAAGGATGTTTTTTATGGAATATGGCCATTAGAAGAAATTGCAAGAACACTACAAGATATTGCATTTCAGGACCTTGTACTGTTTTGCAACACTGCAGACTCTGGTATTCTCAATAACGGAGTATGTGCCTACTTCTCCATTCCCTAGGGTTGCCCATCACTCTGATTATTTGTGTTCTGAACTGAGTCAGTATGTCTTGTTTTGTTCATGGTCAGACACTGTGCCCATGAGCCAACCATTATTTTCACCTTGAAATAGCACAACATGTACTGCACAGACAGGTGAGAACAACAGTTTATCTGCATTCCATAAAAAAGCAACTCCAAAATGCCTTAAGTGAAGTCAAACAATCCATGAATAGCACCTCCAGCAAAGGCAAGGCTTGTCCTGGTAGTTTTATAGGTTCCTTAGTCATTTAACCATCTGTCAACCATGGTTATAATAATAACCATCTTATTATTATCTATCCTTGTTTCTGACCTTTGCTCCTGAGATCTTTGAGATTCCTGCTACAGGAAACTCTGCTTATTTACTTGTACTGGCTTCTGGAAATCTCTCTCAGATGTAGATTCAGCTAGTTTGGTCATTCACATTAGTCAACAACATTTTATCTCATCCTTACCAAACTGGTTGATCTGATCTAGCCAGACCTCCATCCAGGAGAAGAGCTTGGAGAAAGAGTATACTGCTTTTGTACTGAGAATTAAGGAGGAATATTGGACCAAGGTTGGGGTTGAGTGACCATGAGGTGCACATCTCACTTTATATGTGAGAGAAGTAAAGCTCCATGAAGACAGGGGTCATCTCTGTTCAACCCATCTTGTATCAGAATGCTTGCCTAGTACCTGCTGCGTAGAAAGCACTCAATATTTATTTAATATTACACAGATAATGCTGAAATCTCTATGTTCAGTTTTTGACATCTCCTTGTGGTACAGGGCAATGTGAGATGGGTTGCCTGACTGCGGGTCCTCACCCTTGCACTTAAAAGGAACTTGTAATGAGACTCAACTGCAGGCATACATGAAAAGGTTAATAAAGGGTTTATTTACCAAAGAAGGGGAAATGAAGAAATGAATAACTCAGGGAGAAAGGGAGATTAATTGGTGAATATGTCCTACCAGTTCCGCAGAGCTGGAATCCCAATAGCACTCTGCAAGTCGGCAAAAAGCCAAGAGCTAAGAGAAACCCAAGGCCCATCTGTCTGGTTATATATCAAGCCTGGGTGCTTAATTCCACCCTCAGTTCCCAGCAATCCTCCCTTCGGTGATGGCATTATGGGATTTGTAGTTCTTAGTGTCTTGGATCTCTTTGGTCTGGAAAGGGGATGGAGTCCATAAAACCTGTGTTTGTGGAGTTTGTTCAGGGCATCCTTTCCTCCAGCAATTCCTCCCCTTCACTTTTTGTCACCATTTCTATGGTGATGAAGGTCAAATGTGTGGATGCTGGCAGAAAAGGATGCCCTGAATGAACTCTACATACACTCGGTGATTCTTGACAACTAGGACACTGTACCCAAGAGAACTGTCTATTGTTTATTTATATATTTGTCTACATTTTTATTATTTGTTTTCCCAATAGAACGTAAATTATTTGGCAAAATGATGGTCTTATTGATGACTGCCCAGCTCCATCTACTTCACAGTGAGTACTCAGAAAATATCTGATAAGTCAATGAATCATATAGCTTAAAAATATATTAATCAAACATGGTTTTTGTTAATCTACCCTACATGTAAAGTCATAAAACTTTTTCAGATCAATACCTAAACTGATAAGTCTAAAACAATATTTGGTTTTTGTTCTATCAGCCCCTTATTACATAGTTAACTACATCCACTAAGAGCTACAAATTATATGCCAGTGGGGCAATGTAGTTTGATTGATCTTATTTCAAGTTTTTTTCAGTATTCTCTGCAGATTCTCATTTTTAAAATCTGCCTTTTTTCTCTCATCTCAGTACAAAAAGCCCCACTTTTCTATTCTTACAACTCTCTAGTTATCATGGCAAATATTTATGGACTGGAAGTCTAGGCTACTATTTTTGTTTAATGCTTAATGTTTCATATACTGGGAAGTTATCAATTTTAATTATTATTCTATAAATACACTAATAAAGGTAGGAAAAGTACCTATAGGATATGATGAAATTAGTAGAAATTAATGCCTTTATATATTATATAATAATGTATAAAATATATCACTATATATTATAAAATACTATATAATATAAAATAATATATATATTTCAATCTTAGAAGAAATTGTATGTATATTTTATGCATTCTGTCTTGGAAAAGAAAAATGTATTCCCCTGCTACTATTTAAGAGTTGTTCTGATATCTTTGAAACTTTAGTTTTCTTTTACCATCTTCAAATTGGAATTTTTATGAGTTAATAATGTTGCCAGGAAGAGGTTTCATTTAAAAGAAGCATTAAGCTACTTAAAGAGCAATCTCAATCACATCAGCCTATCCTCATCAATCTGCCTTCTTGTGATTCACTCTGAACTCAGAAAGGAAAGGGAAGAACTTCTATCATACGCAAGTGAATGATAAATCCATCAGCAAGTTATTATAAAGACTTATTTGACTGCTAGTGAACAGACTAACTTCAGTGTTAAACTTGAAGCTGTGATCTTATTTGAAAATCATTAGAAATTTGCTTTGGGGTGTGTGTGTGTGTGTGTGTGTGTGTGTGTGTGTGTGTGTGTGTTGTATCCCTTTACTTTTCAAATTTTGTTTCAAATATAATGCATTATGAACAACTGTTTTTATAATTAGCAATATAGAAAAAGCTTATTTAAATATTATATATTTAAATATATAATACATATTATATATTATATAAAAGTATAATATTATATTTTATATATATATATACACATACATATAAATCTCCCAGTGCAGCTTTCACACAGGAAGATCATTTTCTTCTGTGAATAATTGACAGCCAACTCTTTGAATTTACAATGGAGAACACCTGGAGTAGAATAGACTTAGAGTAAATAAGTTTATTCTTAAACAAATGGACTAGCAGACCAAGACAATAGCACATCTACAATAGAATTGGTACCTTCAATTTCTTCATAACTGTGAGGTTCTGCAGGCACACCCTATATCCTTGACTCTAGTGTTGAAATTCCAATTACCATGTGAAAAAAGGTACTGCTCATTACAAAAAAATACAAAATCAGTCAACAAAGCTCACTGCTGGAAAATACTTCAAATCTATTCGCTACTGAAAAAGAATTGCCTGCCATAAATAAACTCTTCCAGTAATTAACAATTTGACTCAAATGTCATTTTTATTCATTCATTTATTTATCCCTTCATTAATTCATCAAATACTAGTGACCTAGTAATTACAAGACAGGTACTGTCCTAGGCTCTGGAGACTAAGCTGTGAAGAAGACACCGTCCCTGCTCCAGTAACTTATGGATTAATTTGGGGAGAATAGTTGCTGTGTCTGTGACTTCTAGTGGAATTACCCTTTAATTGGTTGTCAAATAATCAAATTTATGGCATTGCACACCCCCCACATGTTAATATGGACCAGAGAGGGATCCAATAAAAAGGAAGCAGAACAGGTGAGGACCAGGCATGCTTTGCTAAATACTCTCCAAATTCAGCTGACGCTGGCCATGTGGACATATTCCACCCAGTGTCGCTTTCCATTTTTAGAAAAAAAATCAGAGTTCTGAGTTTAAAATGACATTCTCCCTGGGGCCTCCCTGGTGGCCTAGGAGTTAAGTCTCAGTATCATCCCTATGGCCTGAGTTTGATCCTGGCCAAGGAACTAACCCACATATGGTTTAGCAGACGTCTCCTGTCTCCCCTGCTGCTCCTTTCAGCAGTGTATTTCAGTAAATCTGCCTGTTCTGGTCCCCACCATGTCTCCAGTGAATCCTCTTAGTGCTCCCCCACCCCTGTACCTCTGGCCTGCACCCCAGTTCTTCTACACAAAAAATAAATAAATTTTTTTAAAAATAATAAAAATAAATGACATTCTTCCCTATGTAGCAGTGTCAAGCATGGGGTTGAGGAACAAAATACCAGACAGGTCTGGTCCAAGGTTGGCTGGTTTCTTACCACTTGACAAGACCCAGTGAACCCCCAGGTCATCAAGAAAGGGCTTTACTTGAGTGGTAACTGAACCAGCGAAGTTTCAGTTTCTCCATCAACACAGGAGAACAGAAACTGCTCACTGACTCCATGGAATGTTTAAAAGTTTAATGACCCTGTGAAGGACTCAGATCTGTTAGGATAAAGGAAAAGTACAAATAAACACAGTGACCACGAATACTAGGCTTCACCCTGAGGAGTTTTGCTACTTCTTCCAAACCATAGCAATTCAGTTCTGCTTGATGCACATAGTGGAGAGAAAGTAGTTACAGCCATTGAAGACCAGCTTCTAGATGTTTCCCTTAAGTAACACACTTGCAGCTTATTTACTTGTAAACTACTTGGAGCAATATGAAAGGCTTCCAAAGATAATGCAAATCTGCCTTCTCCAGTACTCTTCACTTTAAAAGGTAAACTAAATACTTGATGAGTTGCTGATATTATTTTTCCCATGACAAATAAACTGTGTGGACTTGACATGGTATTGAATATCAGAAGAGGAGATTGGCTCAAATTCCTTTGTGGAAAACAGCACAAGGAGTTCTTCCACTTGCAAAATGGCACTATTTTGTTTAATGGGGAGATAACAGTGAGTAAAAATCATTCTGTTCATTTTCAGCTCCTTAACGATTGCTTAGAAGAAAGTGGATTTAGCACAAATGGCCTCTGTAGAGGTTTTTCCTTTTTTTTTTCTTCTTCTTCTTCTATTAGATATCCTGCTTTGATAACATTTTTGGGCAGACATGACTTAGCATTCTCTTGGCCCTTCCCCTGGTGAAACCTGGGAAGTTTGTGTCACAGAAGGAAGTTTGAGATCCTTCTCTGTTACTCATACTCACCGTCTCTGAGTATCTTTGATTTCAGTACAACTGACAGAGAGATAGTCCAAGAAAGATCTGGATTTTGCAACTTTCAACAGGAAAAAGGAATATAATGTGGATGTAAAGTTTATCAGTCTTAGCTCTAGAGGAAAGGTGTCACATTCTGAAAAATTACAGTGTTTTCTTAGAGTCCGAGGACATTTGCTTAAGGCTCTGCTATTTTGGCCATTAATGTTTCTAAATGATCTGCAGTGGGAATTGAGGTATCTCGGTCTTCTCAATAAAACACATGGAGAGGCCTCCCCAGTGGCACAGGGGCTTAAGTCTCAGCACTATCAAGCTATCGCCAGCGGCTGCAGCACCAGTTCGATCCCCAGCCAGGGAGCTACCCACATGGCCAGCAGATGCTCCTGTCTTGTCTGCTGCTCCCCTCAGCAGTATATCTCAGTAGATCTGCCTGTTCTGCTCCCTGCTCTGGTGAATCCTCTCACACCTTGCACCTCTGGCTTACCTCTTCTATGCATAAATAAATGAATCTTAAAAAAAAAAAAAACCTCAAGTGTTTCGAGTTGGAGTCTGTGTGTTCTCTAAGGCAGAAAACTCATATTTATCATCGTGTTTGAAATCACAAGTTTCTTACAGGACATGACAATTTTTGGTCTTTAGTCACTTTGTGGAAAGGGGTCAAAGCAGTTGTCAAAAGGACCAATCAAGATCGTGTTGAAGCCACCCAAGTTCCTGCTACAATGTTAAGAATGGTTTTTCCTCTGGGAGAGGATTTGCCTCTGGGTCCATGAAACAATGACAAATAGAGCAAAAGCAGGATCACACCTTGGACTGATACAGAGTGTTCCTATAAAAATGCAGTAAGCCTTGAGAGTAGGTTAATATGCCAAAGAATTTGGATTTATGGCTTTTATGGTGTGTGAATACCTTCAATTAGAGGGAGAAACTGATTGAGGTGGGGGAGATGAATAATAGGGAAAGGAACATGATGTTTGCAGAAGAACACACATCTGAGCTTATAATCCCTCATTACTATATGCCACTTCCCACAGCTATTCTCTTGGACACCATCCGAAATATTAACATTGGCCTTATGTGAAGCAATATTACACATGATGTGACTTAACACTAAAATTCAACTCAATTTTCCCAAGTAGATAGTTAATAAAGGTATATTGAAATAAATTGTTGTCATGCTGTATGGTGAGAAGGTGATGCTATTCTCATATCCGAGCAGAAAGGACACTTTTCCAAGTAAGTGAACTTTAAACAATTCAGCCACTTTCTCCTTAAGGAGGAAAAATGAATATTAATTCCTGCAAAGAAATTAAGATCAGTTAAGAGTGTCATATAGCAATCCATAGACAAGGTGGGGTTTTTTTAGAGATATTAGAATGGAGAATAAATTTCCATCCTCTATCTCCCACATTAATAAAGATTCAAGGAAATATATAGGCTGAGACCAAAATTGAGCAATAGGGATTCCAAAGACAGCAGCAGTGACTAAGTGAAACAAGAACAATGTGTGATTTAATCTGGGGAATGTTTGCTTACTTACACCTCCTATGGATTTCTGCCAGTTGCTTAAGGAGGAGTACTTGAAGAAGGATTCTGTGTTCCCCTAGGTAGCTTTTATAGAGTTGTATTCTATATAAATATTTAAGCTATGTACAGATTTTATTGCAGACGGGGATATAGTAAGCCAACATTTGACTGATAGCTGTAGAGTTGAGGCTCCATGTCATCATTGTCTTAGCGTTTGCCCTTATCTTTGTTACAAAAACAATCTTCATGAGCTAAGTATTTCCATTTGCCTTCTAGAAAATAAATTTGTTTTTCTTTAAAATACTATAAATGTAGCCTGGAAATGCACAATTTTGTAGTTCTATCTCTCTATCCAAAACACTCTATTTACATCTTATTGATTGTAATGGCTCAGCTCACTCCCTGAAATTCCATTCTTGTTTGATTAGAGAATAATAATTATCTTTATGAAGAAGAGTGTTTTATTAATTTGGTCTTTGGCGAAAAAAGCATATTCTCACAAACATCAATGCCATTGTACCTTTGCTACTGTTACTAATGTTCTTTGACAGCAGTTACTGCATAAGGACTTACCTTATGCTGCCCCATATGTCTCCATGTAATTGTCACAGTTGACCAACATGCTTCCAGACAGTACTTTTTATTGTTATCTCTACTTACATGTGGGGAAATTGACACCTTACCAGTTTAAACAAATTGCGTAAGACTATACAAACTGTAAATGGTGCCTGTGGTTTGTACCCAGGAAATTACCCCTTTCATGGACATTTTGTTCTTCCAGAGGAAGCAGTAATTTAGAAATAGTTCAGAAGTATCGTTGTCTAGTCCTAGTCAATGATTAATATCCTAAGCCATACTTTCATATATTAACAGACCTCTCTCTCGCTCTGTCTCTCTCACACACACACACCCTCAGAAAGGGACATAAATATCCCATACTAACCTCATAAGATCTGTCTATTGAGGTGAATATGGTAGTTTTTAATCATCTGAAATTACAAATGGGAGAATTAAAAGTCATATACATTATATAATTTGCCTAAAATCACACAGTTAATCATCAGCACAGTTTGAATTTTCTAACTTTAAATATATATTTTTTCCAAACACAAGTTTCACGCAAAATGTAGTTGCCTGGCCAAATTTGGTCTCAGTTCCTAAGTGCCAACCTTGTAAGCTACTTCTATTTATTATTTAAGATTTATTTATTTATTTATACATACAAGAACTGGGGTATAGGCCAGAGATGTGAGGGAGAGAGGATTCCCCAGAGACAGAGTGGGGAACAAAATAGGTGGATCTACTGAAATACACTGCTGAGGGGAGCAGCAGGCAAGACAGGAGAGGTCTGCGGCACCATGTGGGTCAGTGCCCTGGCTGGGGATTTAATTCAAACTGCAGTAGTTGGTGATAGCTTGATAGAGCTGAGACTTTAACCACTGTGCTGCAAGGAAGCCCCTGAGCTACTTTGAAGTCATGAAATACCTTAACATATCTTGCTAGTATGTATGAGCCAGTGAATGCTAACCACTAGTAGAAAGGAATTCCAAGCAATTGTCTTCATCACGGAAATGATCAGGACATTTGCTGTCAGTTTGCCCCTGTGATGGCAGGGGAATTTAAACAACAGTATATTTCAAATGTTTACTTAGCTCATAGAGAAGATTGATGTGTCTACATTCCCTCACATTTGTTAAGAGAGATTATCATCTGAACTTTGCAAAGCAGGGTCATTGATGAAATGGAGGAAGTAATCAGTATAAAAAATAGTCTTCATTTTACTGCCATCAAACATCAAAAGTGCATTGGCTAACCTCTCAAAATGAGAAATGAGCTTACACATTTGCTGGGAGAGAGAATGGAGAGGATGTGACAGGATAATGTGTGTCTGGAGGAGGGACAAGGAAATACCTTCCTGAATTGTCAACTTTCTCTGTGATCTGGGAAAAATAAAATTAATGATTTGACTGACATTTTATAAACTAATAAGTTGCAACAAACCTGTGACATTATAGAGAATGGAACCTATTGCATTCATTAAAACAAAAGGTTTCTAAGAGATTTCATGTTTGCAATTGAGGGTTTGCCAGTGAATTAATCTTCAAGTTGTTATTGGAGAAGCTGAGAGGCTCTGATCTTGGAAAATGTGGGAAATTGGGATAGAATGTGGAACTTTGTTGTTTGTTTTTTTTTAATGACGTCAGTGGACCACCACAAGGGCACTGCTGGTGAGACTTAAAAGCTCTCCTCTCTCTCATCGCCCTTAATCTCACCTCAGACTGGGAACCTATTGATGTTGCAATATTTATGAGACCAACACTTGTGAGATTCCCGATCACTCAAAAAGGTTTTACCTTATTAACTAATATTACAAGAATCTGAAAGACAAACGATTTAAAACTAGAAGGAAAAGAATGTTCACCACAAATCACGAAGCTTTGATTTTCATAACAACTAGATAGTGCAAATGGCAAGTGAAGATTTCATTCATTTCCCTCGGAATCTGCAGAATCTGAGTAGAGTTATTGTTTTCAAGATACAAAACAATTATTTTTTGGAGCTGAAGCTTCAACTTCAGAAAAGAGTCCATTTCTAATGCATGCACACCAAAGCACATGTCTGAATTATTAAGCATCCATGCCACTATATTTCTAAAGAAACCCAGCAGAGAAACAATTTTGCCCAACAAGCAAACAAACCACCCTAGAATTTTTTTGAGATGTGTCAATGAAATACAAAATTATCCTGGAACTTAAGACAATGTTTTCACTCCAGGTAGCTGCATGAGAGTGCATTGCCTTTGATGAGACTGCTGGTATGGAAAATGAGAATCTCTGCCAGTGCTGTACCTCTCCACTGAACTGATCTAGATTCAAGCTGAGTGTACCTCAAGGTGCTTCACAATGACTCTGGTGAATATAAGTAATATCTCTGGCTTGATCAATAATGAACAGAGAGTAGACAAGGTTTCTGTTTGTTTAAATGAATGAAGATGATAGTGTTTGCTTTGAAGTTGGCCACACTTTTAATTTTAAAAAAAAAGTTCTAATGGGCCAAATAATAAAGTAATAAAGCTGTAACATGACCTACACAAACAAGACTTTCTTGTCCAATAATCCACTGCTAATCTTAGATTGAAGCTTTTCATTCTATATTATGATGATGTATCTGCCATGAATAGAATTCAATTATTAAGACGCTATTTAACACTTTTCAAAAACACTTTGTTCAACTAATTATCACATCTATAATGAGAGGTAAATACTATAACTATCACATGAAATATGAAGAAACTTAGACTAAGGTTAAGTAATTTGCCTAAATTAACACAGGCAAAAAGAGGTGACTTTAAGTGAGCTATTTTGTTGCCTAACTCAGAGTCAATTTTTTATCTATCTCTTCAATTGAAATGTACTTTATTTATTTATTTTTAAATACTTATTTTATTTATTTATGCATACAAGAACTGAGGTGTAGACCAGAGGTGCTGGGGGGTTGGTGAGAGGATTCACCACAGAGTGGGGAGCAGAACAGGTGGATGGACTGAAATACACTGCTGAAGGGAGCAACAGGAGAGACAGGAGAGGTCTGCTGTGCCATGTGTGTTAGCTCACTAGTCTGGGATGAAACTCAGCCACAGTGGCTGGTGAAAACTTAATAGCGGTGACGACTTAACCCCTGTGCCACCAGGGAGGCCCCAATTGAAATGAACTTTAAATCTATGGGTACTTAAAATATGAATCCAGGCTGGAAGTTCTGAATAATATTTACATATATTTACAATAACTCATCATCACTGTTGAATCAAAACTGCATTTTATAGGTGTATTTGGTAAATGATTTGGTGTAACATTGGGTTATTCGTGCTTAATAAATGTACCTGGTTATGAAACTTAACATAGTTCTTAGATATTTTTACATAGATTGTAGGTGTCGAATATCTTGCATGAATATACCAAGCAGTCACTTGTTGGTGCTTAAGTACTCTCTCAAACAAGGGGAAATGAGATGTTTCTATGAAGGGATAGATGTATGATAGATAATCATCTACATACTCTAGATAATCATTACATACTCTTTGAGACACTAATGTTTAATCTCTGTTTCCAATTAAGCTTGATGTATAGATGAGCCCTTAAACACAGAGATAAATACTGTACCTGCCTTAATAATGGCTAGTTAATTTTAAAATGTGGTTACATGCACACCTCTCTGTCTTTATTTAATATATATATGTTTCTAATCTCTCTTATTGCACTTGATGAAATAATAACAATAGTAATAATAATAATACTGGGCCTCCCTGGTGGTGCAAGTGTTATGACACAACCTATGAAGCAATCTGCAGCCACTGCAGCACAAGTTCGATTCCCTGCCAGACAGGGAGCTACCCGCATGGCACAGCAGACCTCTCCTGACTAGCCCACTGCTCCCCTCAGCAGTGTACTTCAGTCTGCCTGGTCTGTTCCCCAAACTGTCTCTGGTGAATCCTCTCACCCTCCACAACTCTGGTCTGTACCCCAGCTCTTGTATGCATAAATAAATAAATCTTTAAAAAGAAAATAAAAAAAATAATAATACTAATAACAATAAGTGCATACCAGCAGAAGCGAGGCATCTTAGTTCTGAAAAAACCCTTTTTCGAGATCACACACTAAACATCTGTTTAGCAAATAGCTTCAAAGCAGTATAGTGATAGTTAAATATTCATATTTTCTTCCTGTCCACAATAATATTTTCCATGTTTCCTGTAATTAAGTAGTGATGCTTGTCCTGCTTAATTATTACAAAGTTTTTCCTTAATGGAGGTTCTTATTTTTAAGCCACATTAAGAAGAGGTACTTTCATCCTAGATTTTATTATACTATGTAACAAATCATAAAAATATATATTTTATTGCTAACCCTAGTTTGTGTTTAGAATGATAATTCATTCATCAAAACATAACATATGTTGAGGACTTCAAAGCAAAGAAAACCTTTGAAACCTAAAGAAAATTTTAACTGAAGATAGTTATAAATATGAATATATGTGTTTGGTATAAATAAAGAGAATCATTAAGTTTGTTAAAGAATGCTATAATGTCATTAGGAGACACCCTCAGAGTATAAATTCCTGAAAAGTATCATACTAGGAGTTTAGTAATTTGCTCATTTTCTTAAGTGTTACCTGCAGAGAAGATAAATTGATATTTTCATTTAAGTGATTCCAGATGGCTAGAATCCATTTTAAAAAGTCACTGATTGCCATATATCTGCAAATCTATAGGATTTTATACATTCATCTGTAACATACACTAATCCTGTCAGATCCTTTCATATCTAAAAAGACAGATGTATATTATTTTTGCAAATAATTTTAAACTAAAACAAGTAGAATGTAATGATGAATTGCTAACAAAATGTCCTCAGCAGATAGACTCCTGTAGTCAGTAAAATTGTTGTGAACTTAAATTGCTCTTTGTTCCTGTAACTAAGAGGGAAGGTAATAAGTTTGATTGATTGATTGAACTTATGTTTGCTCAGAAAGTTGCTGTTTACTGTACTTCTTTTCATGACCCAATATATGTTTATAAATAACTCGATATATTCGAGATGGAAAATATGTGTTTGTTCATGGTAGAACTTTGCCTTCTTTAGCCAGTAAAATGTGTTGCCCACTGACTTTACTTACTAATCCTATATTTGGCCATAGAATTCTTCTCAGAATAAGTCTCTGGGCAGAAGTTGCTTTGATTGTAAAATGGAATCGTCACTGTGATCCAAACTGTACAAAGCATGATGGCTGCCTTTCAAGGATGGACCAACCACAGAGTAAGTCTGATGAGGTGCCGAATAATTGCACTTCCACAGAGAACACTATCCAACTATGAAGGAGTAAGTGGATATCAAATGGAGAGTTTATTGGGGAATCCCCAAGAGGTCCAGAGGTTAATCCCCGAAAAGTAGATTGGATTATTTTGTAAAACATAAAGAAATAAATGAATTATTTTTAGTTTTATAGCCTTGCACAGTATCCTTATCATCATCCACCCCACAAGTCATGGATTTTGGTATTTCTTTCCATAATTGTTATGTGAGAAACTCTGTTCTCCTTTTTACTGTAAGATTGTTTGTACTTGTGAATTACCACACATATTAAAAATAAATAGATGCCAATTATCTCAAATTATTTGGATGGTTAATATCTTCTACTGATATTAATTTGATTTATTTTTTATCTTATATTTATTGTAGAAAATAGCCTGCTGTGTGAACAGAGGATTACAACGCTTATGTCCCAGAGGGTAAAGGATCTATCTGTTCACAGCACAGTATGTCCTCAAAGACAGGGTAAGAACTGGCTCAGTAAGAGCAGACTGATTGTATTTAAGGAACACTGCTTCTAAGGTTACATCACCTGGCTTTGCTTCATTTGTCATATTTAAGTTTATTAAAAATCTAAATCAAGAAGGCAAGAGCATTAATCCATTTTTAATTAATACTTGCTAAAAATTAAGTTAGCCACTTTTAGCTTCTATCAGCTTGTTTCCAGGGCCAATTTTGTTAAATCACATCTTTAAAATGATAAAATACACTCAGTTATGTAAGAAGTAAAAGAAACTAGGGCAGACAGATTCTAAATTTTTTTCTGATCTATAATCGGTAATTATTTTACTCAGTTTCTCATGCATCATTTTCCTAAAAATGCTTTAATAAATAAAACTTCACTCTGTCCATAGCCAAAGCCTCCTGTGTTGAAGGCACTGAGGGGGCATCTTGACATCTCACAAGCAAAGGAGCTTTGCTTCCCTACCTTTCTTCACTGAAGTCTCCCTAAGAGTCTCTCATTTTTTTTTTTCTTTTTTCACCAAGTAGTTCATAATGCCCTTGTGATTATTTATCCTTGTCAATTCTGATCCAAGTAGATAAGGACAAAGATTTCCCCATGAAGTTGGATCTTGGTGGAACAGAGTGAATTCAGGAGCAACCAACCTGATGAGTGACCTTTCTCACCTTGACACCTCAATAGCATCGACCGAATCCTCCCAACTTGGAACGTGACTTTGGCACATTGAATCTACAAACTTAGCTCATGGGAAGTGCTTGATCAATAATATCCCTGGAAAAATGACTCAACCATTAGGACTTTGGAATAGGTGTGATTTTCTGAGTATCTCGTTTTCCTGGAAAAAAGCCAATGCTGGTAACTGGGTGTCTGGGACAGAGCACCGGTCTACAGAATGAGTCTGAACCCTTACACTGATGGTTTTTCATTTGCTGAGAACCTATTATCTGCCAGGATCTGTCCATAGTGACGGACTGGTATAAGGTTGCCTCCAAGAAATACATGGGCAGCAATTCAGTGTCTTCAATGAAATTACTTTGTTTCTGCCATTCTCTCAATAAACCTCTAATGCAATGGAATCTCCTGGCTTTGAGTAGATCCCAATATTTACCAACAGTTTAATGTCTAGCAGTGGGAAAATTGTCTTCTAAATTTGGTAGGACAAAAGTTGTCTTTAAATATTAAAAATATTTTCTTGAAAGTGAAGATTTGAATTTACCTTTGAGAGTAGAACTGTGCCTTTGCTTTTTGGTTTTGATTTTACTTTTTTTGGAAGAGAAGGTAATAAAACTTTAATGGGAATCTGAATTAGATTAAAGTAAAGATTTGTGAAATTGAGATTTTAGAAACAGAGGATTGAAATTGCCTCACATAATAATATGAAAGTTATCTTTAATGGATGAAGCTGTGTTTTCCAATATTGTGTTTCCTCTAAAGAAAACATTTTGTTCTAGTCTATGGTTGCTACAGTTGCTAGATCACAGTGTC